GAAATGATACATGGACCTTAGGAATCTCCGGGCTTTGATGTTGTTAGACTATAATCATAGCAAGCCATTAGATCTATCCAAGTGAAGTTTTAGTGTTGAAGAACTATCAGATGGGGTCATGTGTTACTCTTCCCACTCAACCAACCCATCCACCCTCCGAGTTGGGTGATGGAATTTGAACGTTCGTCCTGTCGCTTGATAAGCACATCCAGATGTCAAAAAAGAAGACGCTAACAAAGTGCACATTCATGGTGCAGTTATGAAGACTTTGATGAATGTATTGTATATCATATACGTAACTCTACTCTGAACTCTGAAGTATTCAGGGTTGGATAGAGCTGGTTGATATGGCATGATCATGTAAAGATGAATGGCTCAAGTAAGCACTTTGATCTATGTGTTTGAAAAAGACTGTAATTCTGGTAGATTATAATAAGATTTACATAAAGATCTATGGTTTAGGTACTTGTCACCTATAATAAACAAGAAGTGAAAGAAAGGATTGTAAATCTGACATAAGGCTTGCTAATCTCCTGTTGTCTTAAGTTTTTGTTAAGTTCTCATATGTCTTTGATGTCACATTGAACAGGGAGGACTTACTGCTACAGATGTTTTTGCTGTTGAATGGATTCAGACTGGAGTCATTCATTTCGGGTCAACTGTTTCATACTTTGGCTTTCTTAGTGATGGTAATTTGGTCGTTAAGGCAGAATTTTGTTTCATTTGATTTCAGCTGACTTTTTGTTCACTCCTAGAATTTGGTCGTTCAGGCAGAATTTTGTTTCATTGATTTCAACTGACTTTTTGTTGACTCCTAGATGTTACGACCAATGAGTTCACCCTCATTCTTTGTATAGTCTGTATTCTCTAGAAATGTTAGTTGCTTGTTACTATGGTATAAAATGTCATATTTTGTCATTACATTATAAAATCTTGCACGATGATTAGCATGCCATATCAAAGAGTCCCATTATATGCTTCGGCTTTGGCGAGCCAATTATAACTATGGCTCTTTCAAAGAAGCATGATAAACTGTCTTTTTGTTTATTCTAAAAGTTACTGGCTTTGAATGTTTGTATGACCTAGCCATTAGTTAATTTTTTGGTTGGTTTACTTTCGGCACTGGGTTTCTGTGATCCCAGCTGATAATGTGCTTATATGAGCAATCCACTTGTGACTGCATTGTAGTATTAGCTCCACAGGAATGTGATCCTTTAAACTTTAATGGTCATGTTACTTTTGTACATGCCAATAAACTATATTTTCTATATATTTTCAACTTCTAATTAAAGGTTGATGCAAAACCCAGTTTTAAGTATTTATGTTCGCAATAAATTATTAATACCCTAGAAGTTTAGGATTTTGTTTTAATTTTCAGCTATTGATCATAATCTAACCATAGATAACGAGCCCCAATTTGTAATAGGAAGATGGTTTGAGTCAGATTGATTAATTTGATCAATTGCAAATTGTATTGCTAATTAGATTGTCAGATAACAAACTGATTGTATCTGGTTTAAACTGGATCTGGCCGGATCGAGTCATCCTAGTGGTACTGTCATCTAATACGCTGTGCTTGCTGTGAACTGCATGCTTACATCATATTATTTGTTCCCCACTGTCATTTGCCTAAATTCATGATCAAAAATAAAATTTCTTCTTTGAAATCTTTGTGTGAGCTTAAAGATAAAGGTCAATTTACAATTTCTCATTCGAAATAATAAAATTAAAAATTAAAAATTAAAAATTAAAAATTAAAAATTAGGTTTAGGTAGTATATTCGGTTTAGGACAGTTACTTTGAGTTTCTTAATGCAGCATCTAGGAGCAACTAATTGGTGTTTTACCAAACCGATGACAGATCATGTGTTGGGTGGATGTTGTTTATGCTTAATCTGGTTCTATTTACTCTTGACATCTCAGAAAAATCAGAGGCCAGATTTGATAGAAGACATAAGGACAAGACTTCTGTTGAATTTGTCTTTAAATGTCAAAGCCAAATGGCCTTTCTTTTTTGTCTCTACAGTTTTCTTTGGTACCGTGGATACAAGGTTTAGATGTATGCATATATATGTAATATGATGTACTTAATTTTTTAATCACAATCTCCATATTTATTTTCTTGTGTGCTCAATTCCATCCCCTTAAGGGTCTTTTCTCTGAGATTTTTGCATACATTCTTCCAAGAGTAGCAGTTATTCTAGATGGTTCAGCTTGTAATTTTTGTAGATAATAACACTTAGATTACTATATATTAGTTTCTTGACAGATTTCTCATTATTGTATCCGCCTAACTTTTTTCTTATCTATGTTTTATGTAATAATTTATTTTTGAATTAACTGCTGATAGTCCTGATGTCTGGAACTGGAAGTATTCATGTGGAAAGTTTCAAGAATTCAGAATGAAAATATTTCATATAGATGTCAAAATATTTTCATGGATGCCTGCATGACATGAATGATTGGGACTCTTATAATTTAACATAATAGATCAATAAATATAGCTTAAGTTAGAGATGAAAAACTGGACAGAGGTATTAAAACTTGTTTATGAATTATATTGAAACTATCTTCTTTGCTGATTAAGTTGTCAAACATTGTACATCCATGTGACAACTGCTTCAATGCCATGTTACTTCAAAATATAAGATATTACATTGTAAGACTAAGACTTTTCTTTCTGGTGCTACGTCAGTTCTGGAGCTATCTGAAAAGTATCAGAAGCATTTTGGTCCACTGCGTTATTTTGTGGCTGGTTTTCTCAAATTTATGTGCTTGCCAAAATACAGCTTTGAGGTAGAGTATCTACCCATGTCAAAGGAGATAGGAAACTCCGAGGGAAGGTTATTAGAAAATCAAGGGAAAAAAGATATTTCAGACATTTATACAGATATAATGCAGAGGTCAACAAAAGAGGGAATCCCAAGGGCTTCCAGTTTGTCGAGTATTGACTCAATCATGTCTCCTAATAGAATGTCTGGTAAAGACATGGACACAACAGGTAGCACAATTGCCAGCATTGAGCCGTCTGATTATGTCCGAGGACTTGATCCCAAAGCAAAGCAGATGTCTTCAGTTAGAAGTAATTTAGTGGATGAACCAGATGAAGTTATCCACCCCCAACCTCATCTTTCTGCTAATTCTAACTGGCCAAGGACCAGATCAAAGTCACGGACGGACAAAACTTGGACTAGCGAGACCACTACAAATGATTCCAGGTATTCTTGGGCAGCCACCTCGTTGTATGATAAGGAAGACATTTCATCAACAGTGTCTGATCCTGGACCTGTATGGGACTCTGAACCAAAGTGGGATGCTGAGCCTAACTGGGAAGCTGAGAATCCTATCGAGTTGCCAGGGCCACCAGATGACATGGAACAGGTGATGGAGAAGGTTCCTGTTCCAAGTCTGGAGGACAAGTGGGTTGTCAAAAAGGGCCAATTTCTTGGTGTGCTGGTGTGCAACCATTCATGCAAAACTGTCCAGAGTTTAAGTTCTCAGGTTGTGGCACCAAAAGCTGTACATGATGACAACAGTTTGGACTTGCTATTAGTCTGTGGAAGTGGGAGATTTAGATTGTTAAAATTCTTTATTTGCTTGCAATTTGGTAGGCATCTGGCCTTGCCTTATGTGGACTATATTAAGGTATGTTGATGCTTCTCTTTCTCTCTCTCTTTTTTTAACCAAATTTTGTTTAACATAAAGTCATTAAAATACATGTAGTTTATTAAGAGACTAGGAGTCCTGAGAAAAATTTACTACATCTCAGAAAGGTCAGGTGAAACATTCCTCATTATTTTTTGGGCATTTCTTTTCAGCTTCCAATCTCTTTCTTTGATCCAACTTTTTAACTGACATACACTAAAAAGGAATGAAGATGGTTTCCGCTAGGGCATGCAGAATAGCATGATACACAGCTCCACTTTTGACAAGCTGTACATAATTTCAACATTGCAGTGCTCATCTCATCCAGCTTGCTTCTTGGCTCTATTATCCTGGTTCTTGTTTTATTGTCGATTAGTTTCCATATGTGGATTATCATGCATGTACGTCATCTCTGTTTTTCTTTTTTTTCGTAATATCAGCTCTTGATTCAAGAAATGAGATAGTTTCTGCTGCATGCTTCTTTTGTGCGATTTTCTTTGGCATCTTCGTAGTACTTGCTGTCTCAGTATGGTTCAGAAATGTTTCTAAATACATCTTTCATGTTGCAGTCCTTAATGTCTTGTGTATGTTCATGTGTGTGTCGCACCCACCAACTCATCCGTGACGTTTCTCATCAACATTAACATAGTAGTTACCTGTTGACATTGCAGGTAAAGTCTGTGAAAATTAAGCCTGGCACAAGCACTCACAACGGCTGTGGTATTGACGGGGAACTTCTTCATGTCAAAGGCCAAGTTATATGTTCCTTGCTTCCCGAACAATGCAGACTCATCGGCCGTCCTGCCTGTAAATAAGGGCTGCTAACCTGTGAAATCTGCAGTCCTTCTGTCAGGATGGTGCATCTATGTTAGTATAGTGGAACATTCAAATTATACGACGATATGAGCACAACCTGTTTGACGTTAGAGGTCTGCCTTTTTTTCCCCTCTTCAACAACTGGTGCAATACTCATGGCAAAACATACGAAGGATACGATCAGACAAATGTTGCTCCTGATGTCCCTGTATACTTTCTGCACGTTGGCAGCATCTTGTGAGTGATCGATCATGTTTTTGCTCCTCGGAGATGGATCCTAGTTTTGTTGTTTGGTTCATCGCACCATTGTGTGTCCATTCGATTGCACAGTGCTTCGGCAGCATATTCTGAGTGATCATGTTGTTTGCTCCTCAGAACTGAACCCTAGTTTTGTTATTTGGTTCTTTCCTATTCCTATTGTGTCTCCATTCTATCTTTGGGATTCTTTTTCTTCTCACTTCAATCCATTTCTCTACATTGCTGTGTTATGATGTTTTTGTTGGGGTTC